GAGCGAAGAGCGGCGGGGCGGGGGAACCACCCCAAAACCCAAACCAACAGCCGGCCGTGGTTTCTTATGTACCACCCCCCCACACACGCCCGATGCCACGAACCGATGCTGCGCGTGGGTGGCACTGCATGAACAGGCCAAGATAGTGACCAAAAAAAAAAATGTAGGATGCAGATGGAAAACTTGTAATGCTGTTCTCTCAGGCATGTAGTGACTTAGCAATTTAATTGTTAACAGGAGGTTTAGCGATTTGTCAAGGCCTACTAGGCTGTTCTTCCGGAGATCACCAGCTGCCCACCTTTGTCCAACCAAATAAGTTAAAACACAGTGAAACACCACTTTAGGATTAACAAGTGGCGAGTTCTCTTCATGCTTCTAACATGCGAGCAGTAGCACCCAGCCCCGCTGAGCAGCCCAGGAGCCCGAGGTTACAGGCAGTAGTACAGACGGTGTACAGCACAGCTTTGTTTCTGTAGTGATAAATGGCTCTTCCAGAAAGCTTTGGTTGGTAGGATGTGCTAAGACCATAAAGCTTAGACCCAGCTCTCGCCCATCTCCAGTAGGAGAGGTGTGGTGACACTTGGCCTTTCCAAGCAGCATGTGCACATATTTGAATGTGGTACTGGATAACTGACAAAAATTTGGATTTCCTTCAGTAGGGAAGAGGTATACAAGTGAACATAGAAACTACTCAAAGGAGAAAGCCTACCATGGCTACGGACAGAAGTGTGCTTATTGTTTCACAATAACATCTGTGTTAACATTGAGCTCTAAACATTGTCTTGGTGGTGATGCTTCATCTACCCTGATCTGATAAATCTCATCGTGATTAAAGCAAGATGCACAGTATAAGGGGGAAGGGGAGGAATGGTGACAGAGCAGAGGAGGGACAACCACTACTACCCAAAAGCAGCATAAGAGTTTAAGAAAACTCCAGATTTCACTCAAAAGTTGTTCATGATAATGAACACTACCTAACTGTCAGAAACCATACTGAAGACAAAAGTAAAGATTGTGGTGGTGGTGGTGTTGAAGAATACTGACAGAGCAAGTTACATGCAACAGCATCCCTTTCTTACAGATACTGGCCAAAAAACTTACACACAAACTTACCTTCCAGAAGTCAAATGTCAACAACCAGCATTTATCCTTTAGTATGTTTGTAGCAGTGGAGTTTCACAGCTTGTCAGAGTTATCAAATTACACTTGGGCTTGTTAGTCAGCAGCACCTTTCCTTGATAAACAAACACTTCACTGAGTTGAAATGCAGAAATATTTATTTTGGTTTCCTTCATTGGTTTTGAAAATTGTTTTGGTTTTATAAAACATAGAAATAGCCAACACTAAGCAAACATTTGAATTCCAATGTAACAAACTACTGCTCTAACAGTTGACTTGGATTTGTGTACCTTAATTGCACACATGTATGAAATTATGCTACAGGGTAGTGCATTACAATCACACACAAATCTTAGTGCAAACCTTGTTGTGCTTGTATTTTACATATATCCATGTTTTCAAAAAACAGCAATGAATGCCAATGCAAAACCAACTCTGTTAAGGATAGCAAAAGACTTATGCTGTAATAAGGCTTATTTCTGCTGATTGCTCAAACAAAAGGTAACTAGTTATTTTGTAATTTATCTGGGAATTAGGTTTTTATCCCTGAACAAATACCTATCCTGTGCCAACACACAGTTCTGTTGGCATATATAAATACTTCCAATTGCTGCAAAGCATCAGGCAAAAACATTCTACCTGACCTATTTTGCTATTTAGTGAAGAATACTCAGTGGCTCATACATAAAGCACAGAAAACTGAGAGGTTATGTCAGAAGCTCTTCTGCTTATAGAGGACCTGGCACATTTTAAAAAAAAAATGCATTTTAAATACATGTTCATTACAGGGAAACAAGTGGCTAGTATAGGTGCAATGTTTACCTGACTGTTAGCATAGCCCAGCCTCCTGAATGGTTTTGCTTTTCGGTCTCTAGTGTTCTTGCCAGAGTTAGGATCTGTTCATTTACAGGGCTGGCATTACTCTGGATTTGTGTTAATGTAGCAAAGGCTACGCTTGCTGAATTACCTGCATCCACACTTCCAGTGCAGAACCACCAAATGCAGACTTACTCTGAGGAACTCCTATTCATCAGTCTCTTTTGTGTAGAGTTCTGACTTCTACCTTATAAAAGTACATCTCAGAACTGGCTGCAGATATATAGAAGGGAGGAGGAAAAAAAAAACCCAACAAAAAAAAAACACCCACACAGATGCCTTGCCCCTGTTAATATTAGGACTAATGCAAGATGTGATACCAGCTATACAACTGTAAGGGTATTTTTTTTTTCCTGGTGGTTTGTTTTGGGTTTTTTTTGAACAGATTAAGTAATCTTTCTGAGGATGCAAGATACTTAGAGGCATTTTCAAACCTGCCAAATCCTTTGTGGAATTGACAACTGCAAAATACACTGCAGACAGCAAACATGCTGGCAATAAGAAAACCTTAGCTCCTTGGCAAAGGAGAGTCCCATTTTTGGCCAAGGAAGTCTTAAATAACTTACATATAGTTACCATTTATAGTTAAGGCTCTTTTTGGAAATTGTAGGTCACCATAAAAACAGTATGCAACACAACTTGACAGTAAGGCAGTGTTCCATTTCTTCAATGTTCCTATGGGGCAAGTACCCATTTTTGTACAAGTTAATGATTGCACAGTTTCCTTCCCTATGTTTGCTGTAGTCGAATTACAGATATGAAGGCCAACAGTAGACATCAGACATGTGCCACTTTCCTCATTCCATTCTCAGTTACATTTTGGCATTAGCATAGAGTTCATCTATCTGTGACTGGAAATATTTTCGCAGTTCTGGTCTCTTCGCCTTCAGTGTTGGTGTCAGCAGGCCATTTTCAATAGAAAACATTTCAGTGTGCATGACAATGTCTTTGACCTGGAAAATAAAATTACTAGTCAAACTGCATTCCTTGAAATAGACAAGGATATTAAAAAATTGCCCAGACATCATAAAAGCCCATCATTTAAAAAAATTTTCCAGATACAAATTAAAAGCAGTTTCTGGACAGTCAGATTATATTGGTGTTCAGAAGTTTAAAGAACTAGGTGTTTGGTTCTCACAAGCATCTTACCTGTTCAAATGACTTCAAACCAGATTCTTTCCCAATCCTCACCATGTCTTCCAGAATGTGTTTTTTGAGGTCCTGTGGATACAGAAATGCATTGTATAGCTTGAAAAAGTTGACGCAGAAGAGCTAACTGTTCTGTTAGATATGACTCACCTTGTTTTTGCATAGCTCTTCATATGAGCCTTCAAATCCCTTTTTCTTGGCCCAGGTGCGCAAAGTCTCAGGATCAGGTACCACAATAGCTACTAAGAAGGCCTAAAAAGAAATTTTTGTCAAGCTTTTCTTTTTTTTTTTCTTTTGAAGTCAACACTTGAGTTACTACACATTTCTTACTAGTCAGTGTTAGGTTTTGGACAGCATTTTTGATCCTGCTGTAAAGTCAGCAGCTTTCTGCTACCTGAACACAGGAGTGCAGTTCAGAAGCTTGCACTTAAAGAGAATTACTCTTATTAAGACCCACATTTCAATTTACACCTGCAAAAACCTGGACCTCTTGGGTTTTGGGGTTTGGGTGTTTGTTTGTTTTCCCCCTGCACACTGGTAGCAATTGATACACAGTCATTAATACTCAAATTAATCCAGCTCCACTACCTGGTCTGAAACTAAATCCAGAAACATGCTATGTAACTGCTGGAGTCAAAAGTACATTCAGAACCAAAATGCGTAATGTTAAAAATTTTTTTAACATTTCAGTCCCAAAGTTTGGGGTAGAGAAGAAAGGAAGACTCTTCTGCAGTCTCCTCTTGCATTAATTTTTAAAGTTACCTGCAGAATGCTTACCTGCAAGCTCTCTCCATGGACAAACACCTGAGCAAGTGCTTCACATCTCAGATACACATTTTCTATTTTCTCTGGTGCTATGTACTCTCCCTGGGCTAGTTTAAAGATGTGTTTTTTCCGGTCAATGATCTTCAAAGTACCATTCTGTTGACAGAAATAACTTCCACTCAGAAGAGGCACTTAAAGTGAAAAACCTATCTATACAGCTTAAGCATGCCACATGAGTACAGTAAAATAGTGCTAGAGCCAGAGTACTGTCAAACTAATGTTAGAAGAAAACAGGCTCTGCACCCATCTAACCTAAACTAGGGAAAGCCTCAGGATTGGCACTTAATACTTTTTTAGCCTCAGGCACACAGGTTTATCTACATCAGTAATTACCTTCCTCCTAAAATTACTTCTCTTTCTTCTAATTAATTGTGTTCAATACCAAATATTTTCTATTTTATTTGTTAAATTAGTGCTAATTACTACAGAAGTACATTTCTATAAGTTAACTTACTGGTAGCCATTTCCCAATATCTCCTGTATGAAGCCAGCCATCTTTGTCCAGAGCTTCTGCTGTTTTTTCTGGATCTTTCAAATAGCCACAAAATACATTTGGCCCTTTTACACACACCTGAAAACAGCCATTTGTTAATGTATGCTACTATGAAGGGAAGTTAACAAACACTATTTGCAATGAATGCTTTCTCCAGTGGTTCTCAATAACCCTCACTAAAAAGACAAGATTAAGTTTATGCATCAGTACAGAAATCTCTACTCATAGTTTTTGGAGACCTAATATTTTCCATTGATATGAAGTATAATAAGAAGCAACTGGAAGCATCTGTTCTCTCCCAGTCTAGTAGCAGTGTTCCTACCTGCTATTTAAATAATCTGAATTTATCAGAGGAAATTTATCTGAAGAAATTCTACTGGATCCAGAAATATTTCCCCTCAGCCTGGCAACATGTTCATTTCAGCTTTGGTAAACAGCAGGGGCATTGTGCTAAAACTAGCAATGAAAAAGCTGTACATCAAGTAAAATACATGTTTGTTGTCCAAAAGTAAACCAGTTAATACCTTAGGGCTTAGAGCACTCAAACTCTATAAAGGAAACCTGTAATTTCTTTAAATTGAAGGTTGTCTGGATTTGTGTACCACGTAGAAAACCAAGAACAACTTCTCTGGATATAACTGGATGCATAGACATTATTAGGATCAAAAGATGTGCTTACAAGGTAGGAGAAAAGGGCCAATAAGATTAAAGGTTTATAGGTGAAGAGGTTGCCAGAGAATCTGGTCAGACCTTACAAGCTAAATTAAAATAATTAATAGGGTATCTGTCAGAGACCATAAAAGTAAAGCCACTAGTCAGGAACATGGAGTAGAGCCTAAAGTATCCAGACATGATCCCAGATTTAAGTATTTTCTTCTCAATATAACACCCAAGGTTGCAGAAGTTTTCTTTGGTGGGGAGAAGGGGGACACAGAATAGGACTCATGTTATTTAAGGATCAACAGGACTATAAAATACCTCCTTAGATATTGAGGATAGGGAGAGGGGCAAGATAAACAAGATGGAAGCAAAACTTAAAAGATGCCTACTGCACACAACTGTTGGGCAATCACAAGTCCAAAAACCCTGAAAGCTCTACACAAGAGTCCTCAGAAGCAACAAAGGATTTGAACTATCACACCAGCTTGGGAGTGGCTTGGCACGTGTGGATGACGAGACAATAAGAAGGGTCTGGTCTGAGCAGTATTATCAGGACTCTAGAACAAATCTAGAAGAATGGGATAGAAAATCCAGTTTTAAGTTAAGGCCAAACAGATAATAAACATCAATAGGCACTGAATAAAATACTAGGCCAACTATTAGTCTAGGGGATTAGTATAATTATAAAATGGGCAAGGAACTGGCTAAAGAATCTTCAGGCACTAATATCAGTTCTCAGACTAGAAGAAATTACTAGTGCAATTCAGAGACCAGTTCTTGAAAAACTCATCCCAAGTATTTTCAGTGCTTAGGTCAGCATAAAATATAGGCATGGTGGTGAATTACAATACAATGAACAGGAGATGTTGTCAATAGGAGGGAGATCAGAGTATTAGTGAGGGTTCTGATGACCTTGTAGAGACAGTACCAGACTCATGACCAAACCAATGTCATGTTTTAAGATCTAAGTAATTTCTGCTATAAAACAGAGCTTGTCTGAAAGGATATCAGTAGAGGAGAACTCTGTATGTCCCAAAGGATGACTGATCAAATGTTTCATTTTTCATGGCTCCTTACAATCACAGGATGGCAGGAGGTGACAGCTTCTCCCAGTAGAGACAGCAAACCATTTATCTGTATCCTGCTAACTGGCACTAAGACCTCATCTGCATATGAACATATATAATTCTATTCACAAATCTATCCTTCCTGAACATGGATAACAGGCAAAAGTGAAAAGCAAGGCTGACAGAACAGAAAGCTTACTTTCAGAAAAGAGAACTAGAAGTGTTTAATCCAGCTGAAGAGCAGACAGACAATGAGGAGGAAGATCTATTTTAGGCAAAGGATAATGAGAGCAAATTCTATAGCTATGGGCTTCAGTTCTGTGAAACATATTACAACACTTATTTGTTAAATTCAGAATAGTTCACACTGAGGAAGTTAGGACTGAAAGACTAAGATGGCACCTGATATATTAAGGGGCTCCCATATTTATTCAAGTCCAGAGTAACTCCTAACACAGCAAGCTTTCACAGTAAGTGCAAGCAAAACATTTTTAGAAGGTTTTTTAAAAAACTACTTAACTGTTTCTCATGATGAGACTTTATACTCAGTTCCTCTAGCAGACCAAGATTTAAGAGCATACTTAAAGTGAAGCAAAAATTGTTGATGAAAATTAAACATGGGGTCATATGCAAGACAGGAAAGAATCTTGACATTGCTCTCCACTTGCAATTTCCCACCACCAAGTCCAACTAAATCCTCAAGTATTTCTGGGAATTAAAGCCCGATAATTTATCTCTAGGCTCATACAAATTACAACCAAAACAAATAAAGATTATATATTGTTTGCAGTCACAAATTAGTTACTTGCTTAAACTACTTATTTATCCATTTCTCACCCCCCAACTGCCCCAAGGCCTCTCAAAAGCCTATGAAAGACACCACAGTTAATTTGCTTTCAGGGCTTGGGGAAAAGAAATTACTACATGGACATCTGTTTGAAGTATATACACAAAGTTCAAGCTGCATATATTTTACTTAGAAAAAAAAACATTGAAAAAGACAGCATATAGCATTACATATAAAGCTGAGTCCTCAAAGCGCAATTTGTAAAACATACATGTTCAACTCGTGCAGGCTGCAGAAAAAGGTTCAGAAGAACATGCAGGCAGTTGTCACAAATCATTAGCAGCCTTCATGGCATTTTTATCTCCATTTCTCTTAACAGTGTTCCAGCCACTTTAAATTACCTCATCTCACACACTACAAGCTGGGTAACAAGCTACGTGCATCAGCTGTTCTCCAGCACTTGGCAGAGGGGGGTGGAAGCCTTCTCCTAGCATTTTACTGAAGGATAAATGCAGTTATGAGATAGCTAGCTTCTCAGCTATCCCACAGCTGGAAGATGGCATGTTGTCATACAACTACAAATACATAGTAATCTGTTACCCCACAGCAAGCTGCTTTTTCTCCCATCCTGTTTTGCTTTTGTGAATCGCTAGCTGACATTGCATGCAGGCAAGGCAGGCATATTTGATTGTAGGTAGCAGGCCATGGTTAGCACTTTTACTAAACTCAGACAGTTAGTTGTTAAACAAAAAACATTTTCCAAGATTTCATAAGAGGCTCATATTGACCTTTTGAATTACTTACCTCACCCTCTCCTTTGGCAGCCAAGTAATTCATTTCTTGTACATCAACAAGCTTGATGATACTGCATGGCATAGGTGCTCCAACATGACCTATTAAATAGAGTAACACTTCAACAGCCTGAACTGCTTTTTAGTCAGGTTCTTAAAACAACAAGCTGGTTACATACTAAAGTAAAAAAGGTGGAAAACTGATTTCTGGTCATGTACTACACCAATACCAGTACAGTAATAGCTTAAATATGCTGGGACTTAAACATTAAATTTTCAGATATCCCTAGAATGTTACAAGCTGAACCATGCACTCAGGCTTGCTTTTTCTTATGATCAAGATCCTCACTGTATGGACATATTTAAGTAGCAAAAGTCCACTCTAGTTTCAATTATGAGTATTATTTCAGTTAGGGAGTTAGCGATATAACAGCTGACAGACACACAGACTGTTCCAACACCAAAAAATGCCATTTAAATTTCCAGCACTGTGTTTATACACAGCAGATTCCTATTCTGTAAAAATTACAAGGGTTGATACAATGACCTCCCCTCTCCTAAACCCACTTCAACTTACAAGGGCCAACCCTCTTAAAAGTTTGGATTACTGAATGTTCTATTAGCTATTTAGGGATAGAAACTTCAAGGGATCCCTTCAAAACTTTTTTACTTGAAGAAAAACAGAATCTTATGCTTCGTGATAGGTGTACTGAAGACTAAATAATGTGATCAGGGACCTCTATAGCATCCTGAAATTTAACAGACAGGCTGACCATTAAACCCCGTACCTGCTGTCCAGTCACCAGGCAGTGACAGTGAGCATCCAGCTGTGCACTCAGTCTGTCCATAACCTTCATAGAACTAGGAAGTGAAAGCAAAAGTTTATTTAAGATTCTCTCTTTTCAACATACAGTTACTTCATTAAAATGAAATTAATGTTTTTCTTCTTCTAGTTTAAATTTGAGTTTAGCAAAATCCCTAGCATCTTTTAAAAAGAATATCACTACTATATTAGAGTTTTATCACAATACACAATTTTAAGTGCTAATATTCCACAGTTCCAATTCAGTTTCACTCAATTTCACATGCTATGTGACACCTGTATAGATCAAACCAGAAAGCAACAGAGGGAGCAAGAGGAAGAAACTAAGAACAGTGGCACTAGCAATGACTTCATTCACATCATTTAAGGACAGGTTTGTCCAAGACAGCCAGGAACAGAAGCCCTATACCCCATCACTGCTCTGATTATTATATATGAGACAGGCTTCCCTTTTCTGTGCAGAATGCGTTGCTACACCAGCACATTACTGAAGAACTTCAAGAAGTCACAGAAGCATCACATTTTAGAATGTTTGTTTTCTATCCTTGAAATTTATTTCAACACATTTGTTCCATCCTGTGCCATTGTTACTCAAATTTTACCTCAGAAAGCATATACTTTGAAGAGGCTCTGAAAATAAATGCAATGTGTGCAATCTGATTCTCCCCAGTCTCATCTTCAAAGCAACAACACTCCAATATCATCACATTAATTAGACTCTCTACGGTAGTTATGAATACTTCCGTAAGCAAGGCTAGCCCCAGAAACTTAATCCAAGAACATTAATTATTGCTTACAGCACCACCACCACCCCCACCCCCCAAATCTTTCCCTTAAGACGGTTCAGCTGGTTACTTCAGTTCTAATAAAGACTTTGGGATGGATGCAGAAATCTCAGGGGACTGAAAGATAAACTCTGGAAAGGAGTACACACTTGTGTTGTCTCCAAGAAGAATGCCAGAAAGAGTTACCCATATAGTGAGACTACTAGAAATGCTCTAACATCAAAGCTGGAACCGGGTATTATTTGTTTTAGTATTAAGGCCAGAAAACTCACCTGACAGCCAAGAGCTGTTCTCAGGAAGGTCAGTACACTTGCAGATACAGGTGCTGCTCCTGTAACCATCAGCCTCACTTTTCCTCCCAAACTTGCCTACAACAGACACAAGATACTGTGGACACCAAAAGCATTTTAGAGATATTTCCAGAGTCTTTTTCCATCCCACCCTCAGCCACTATTCACCTACAGTGCCACCCACAAATGTTAAAGTTTAGTCTCCTATTGCAAGCTTTCTTGCAGTGTTTTTAATCTCATTAATGGCTGGAAGAAACAGTATCTCAAACATACAGTATCTGCAAAGACTACGCTGTGGTCTCTGCAATGCAGGCTCTGCTGAAAGTTTGAAGAGCTTAAGTCATGGCCTTACAGCAATGGCTTTATTTTTAACTGCCTTGTATCAGCTTCTCACACATCCTGAATGCTATTAAAAGCACCCACAGGGGCATGTTGTACAACCAAGGTAAAGGCCATAGCAAGTGAGTGCCAGATATAATAGCAGGCATAACTTACTAGTGACTAACAGTGAGGAGACAGTAGGGGCTACAGGTGGCACTGTGTCACATTTAGCATTCCTCCTTCAGAAGGACAGTGTTTGCTTCCAAAGCAGTAATAGAGAAGGACCAGACTGTTTTAGAGTAACTTCCCTAATACAGTTAGCTGATACTATTAGAACAAAGGGAACTGAAAAAATGAAGTTGGAAATAAAAAGAGAGCTTTGATTTTTATTCTGAGTAGCCAGATAGTCTTTAATCAGTGACAAAAGCCATACCAGATTATAGCCATTCATATGAAATACAGCAATTGCAAACTTAGACTCGGAGGCTTTCAAGCATACCTGTATTTTGCGGAAGATGACTTTATCCCAGAAACTGTTATTTCTAACTATACCACTTCTGAGTTCTGCTTCTTTCCTCTTGGAAGCAAAATCCAGCATCCACCTCTTTAATGAGGTATCTGCCTGTCCAAAAATCTATTAAGAAAGATGATCTGTGGTTAGAAGTCTCACAGACTACCATTCCCTTTTTCTTACAGAAGCATGCCTAGAGACTCTTAACAGTTAAAACCAAGTAAACTAAACAACCTTTATTGGTAGGCATCTTAAATCTAGTAAGAAATACTTGTGGATTTTGATTTTGGCCTCTACCTCAGTTCAAGAGATGTCCACCAAAACTAGCACTTAATTCTTCCTTCCCAAACTGTGTGACGCTGTTTCAGTGTATAGTTTCTTCATTAAAATGAATGAATGAAAATGGATGGTTTACTTTTCTATTCCAGTATAATCACCAAAATTCAAACTGAGTATAATCCTCAGCATATTCTGAAAAGCACACCATCATAATATGTAAAGTTACACAGGGTTTTCTGAGGAGATGCAGGTCCCCTCAGAAATACCAAATGGAGATCTGTCTTGCATATATAAGCTTGATTTTTAGATCACTTTTCAAGGGCTTCTTCTAGTTGTTCTCAGGAAGCCACAGAGCAGACCACAGATTAGTATATTCATTTGGAAAAAGAAAGACCCAGCAGCTCTTCAGCATTATGGCCACCCCGCCAATTTACCACTTAACTTCACATGCTAGGTTACTGCAAGGCTGAGTGAGGTTGAAACAGTGCCATAGAAGTGCGAAAGCCTCAGGGCACCACAGTTAACAAGCAAGAGGACATCAGGAAAGCGTAAGAGTCCCAAGCTTTGGCTCTGCTTATCAAATTCCAGTACAGAATGCATGAGCAGAACGAGAAGCTACGCTTTAAGCACTACAGGCTGGTCTCAGGATTTCCTCCCCTCCAAATGGATCAGAGTTGCACTATTTGTTCCTGGAGCCAAACACAACCTTGTATTACTTCCTCTGGTCTCATGGTTAGAGCACTGTCCTGGCTAAGACAGCGTAGACAGCTCTGCCATTTCTTTAGCAGTCACAGGACTTGTTATATCCTTCAACTCCTCTGGCTGTATCCCAACAAGAGAGTCAGTCATCCATATGCAAAAGGATGATTTAAAATCTGAAGTCCCAGAAAAAGAATCTACTTCTGAATTCCCACCTCGATGACCCTGAGCAGGCAAGCAGGAAGCACAGGAGAGACTGGGGCTGCTGACACACCCTCTCCCCAGCACTCCTCACTGGCTGGTTTATAGTTCTCCCTGCTAGAACACGCTGTCTGCTGTGTAGGAAACTTGTATGCATCCACGCAAACATAGGCAAACACCTGACCTTGGTTTGCAAATTCCACTCCATGAGTCAGATGCTAAAAGTGTAGCATGCAGATGCTAAGCCTCATGTTCATATTGTAGGCTGGCCTTAAATAACTTGCTCAGAGCAGAACAGTAAGTCATTAATCAAGCTAGAGAGAACCAAGTCCCCTAGTCAGACTTTTCAACACTAGTATTTGCTGCCTGAAAGTGTTTTAATACAACCAGTCCTAATCCCTGCACTTTCAGCTCTCTTTTAGAAAGAGATACACAAATTTGTTAGCATGTCAATTTAACATCCCAGAGCACAACAATTACTCCTACCCTGGCAGCACAAACTTCATGAAGTTTCTTAAAAGCCTGCACAGGTCTAGACTCATGCCTGTAGACTTACCTTGTCAAACATTCTGTTCAACAGTCTTGGTACTACAGGAAATACAGTTGGCTGCAGTGTTTTTAGGTCATCCATAAGTAGTCTGATATCCCCTTGAAAGAATCCTATCCGAGCTCCATGGCACAGAACCACACACTGTCAGAAAAAAGTAAACACTGAAAACACAGGATGTATGTGTTCTAGCTGTGTATGTACAACAATCCTATGCAGAGTGGATTGAGCAGGATCCACCTTAAATCCTCTCAGCTTCTAGACTAGTTCTGCAGCCTTCTCAGACTATAGGATGGGACTAGAAAGACCAAGTAGCAAGACGTGCCTGGTGTACACAGGCCAAGGACTTTGATAGAGTAAGGTATAGCACAAAAGCCCCTATTCAAAAAGGGCAGTTGGCCAAATAAGGCAGTGCCAGTGACTCAGAGGTAGCAAAAGATTGAAAAGGAGAACTTCACTATTTTAAATATTTAACAAGGTTATTTAGAAGTACTAGACCTTCGTTCCCTGCTGTATACTAAGAAATTTTGCATCTAAAGTCAGCACATGCTATTTACTGGTCCAGCAGGGATTTCAGCCTTATGCTACTTGATTTCTGTTCCCTTGCACTCTGGTTTTCCTTCCTGTTTCACAGGACTGATATGAGCAGAGGATTTGTTGTTAGGTGATCAAGATACTCTTTAGAAGATTCTAGCAGAGCCACTGCTTATTTATGCATCACTTCAGACCTACACCAAGGAAGGCAAACTTAATCCTGTTGTGTTCTATATTCTTTGTTAAGAGCCTAGAAGCTCCAGCCCCCACACCTATACACCCTCTTTTTCTCCTATTTTGTTTGGGTTTCATCTATTCTTTTTAACAACATCTCTACTCTTCTTGTGTTTATCTACACCTACTTGTTTTTATTTCCTCTTCTATAACACCTCTTCCTTCATTCCCTGCCATCCATTCTTACCTGTTCTGCACAAGACATGCTAAAGCATCACTTTTGCCCTTCACCTGTGCTTCGTCACCACCTGCTAAAAAGCCAATGCATCAGTCCAGATGGACTGAGCAGCAACTACCTTTGCTAGGTAGAAACTCATTTGTCCTGTCAAGTTCACTGACCCTCTAACTTCCTTAGGAAGCCAAAAATCAGCAAACATCAACCTTACAACAGGGGTAGGACTCTAAAGATTGCTTCTCACAGAGCCTGTGTTCATACCTACCCCAAAGAGTGACAAATCTTTTCTCCCTTCTACCAAGTGTTCTTGCTTTATCTCCTTATGTAAATATACAAGTAATCACCTACTTTGTAAAGGCCTCAAACAGCAGAGGAATACTGAGATCCAAACACTTCTCATTTTATCCTTTAGAAGACAAGTTCCCATCCTGTTTCTACTGCATGACCAAGAACAGAGCTGTCACCTACAGAGCTTGTACCTTCTGTTGCAAGACAGGCATCAGTAAAACAGACACTGAAGTGTAACTGGTATCCGGTTACCAGGGGAAAAATAGTGCTGAAAGCCTAAGGGCACCTGTACACCTCAGTTATGCTCTATTCCCAATCTTCATAACATACATATATACACACACATATGCATATTTACATTTTTATGTGTGTGTGTGTATATAAACACTTTTGGTAGAAAGCTCAGGATTCCTAACTGAAATCACCAGACCATTTCTGGCTCCATGTGCCTTTTCACACTTGCACAGAGGCTTTTTATTTCCCTACATAAATTGGGACATGACTACCTTCAACATACATATTTGCAATCTCACCCAAGGGAGAGGTGTTAATTCAATTTCAATAAGCTTGGTAATTAAATACCTGTGCCTCTACTGTATATAAGAAGTTTGAGGAAATTGCATCCTTTCAATAATGCATACCACCTAACTATGGGCTCAGAGGTCCTTAAGACTGCCAGTATTAAGACAGTCTGACCCCCCTCATACTCAAAAATGAAGCCCCAGGTTTTGCTGTATGGTAAAACAAGCTATCCAAGAGAACTTCAAAGCTTGTCATTAAATGGCATTAAAAGCCATTTTCATTTCCTGGAAGAGAACGCCACTGAAACAAAATCCCTTCCTTTTTACTGACATTTCTTGGAAGCAATGGTAAGTTTAACCAACTTAAAATTAGTTTGTGTAAGCAAGCAGGATGCCACGTTATAAAATACATTTTTAAAGTTTACAGACTAAATGGCATGAATTTTAATAGTGCACTGATTATATTAGAGGGAATTTCTAGGCAGTGAACGTGTGCTAAGGGATTGTCTCATGTTCTAGTAAACCAGTTTCTTATTAACCCTAGCTTTAAGGTTAATGTTTATATTTTGCCCTGAAAACCAATTGTTTAGTACTCACTGGATATTGTTTATGGGATACTGTTTTCCTGAACCTTACCTCAAGCTTTCGTACACATGTGCAAGAGTCAAAAAGGAATAGTGTGTACCACTGGGATTCAAGAGACATGCATTCTGTAAGAAAAGCAAGCTTCTCAATAGTACAGTACAACAAACAGATGCTTACCTCAACGACTCTCTCAAACATGTGAGCCAAGGGCAGGAATGATATCAGAACATCATCAGAAGAAGGCATAAGTGTTTTCTGAAAGTGTTAGTAAAATTAAATTTAATTCTCATTGATTTTCTATTTTGCCTAAATTAAACACAGTAATGAAATCTAGCATCTAAACTCTAAAGCATGGCCCTCACTTCAGTTTTGTTTGTAATGAAGCTGCATTGTCTGTCTCTCATTAAAAAGATTACAGCAATGACTTCTAGCATGAGTAAACACACATTGCAGAAATGGTAATCTTTTAGAGTTGAGTACATTGACCAGATTATTACAACTCATCATTCATATGATTACAAATAGAAACAAATTCTGATAGAAACCACAGAAAGTTCCATTATACACATTGGGAGAAGGGGGAACAAAAAACGTTAAAGTAGTATGTCTTAGGGGTTTAAAAAAATACACACTTGCATCTTAGATCAGAAAGTTTGCTTATCCAATTTACCATAAGGTTGATATCAACAGTACCTTACATGATCTAATTGTGAGACCAGCTGCCTAATTTGAAAACAATTCTATATGCAGAGTACTTGGCAAAATAAGTACAGTTGTATTCTTAAGTACATCTGTATGTGTTAGAACAGCCTTCTTAGCTAGCCTGCAGATGAACTTTACCAGCAATCTACTGTAAGCTAAAAGTTCATACTGTATCAAGTAAAGATAGAGTCATGCTGCTTGCTCATTTATGCAAGGGCTTTAAGTATTTTGGGTGGTTAAAATATATTATAGCTTCTCCCATCCTTAGTGGAAAAGGTTAGCCTCCACACAAACCCTCTGATACAGAGCTTGCACTAATGACAAACACTATAAGCCCATGGCAGAATGTAACGTAGATCCACATCAAGACCTTTATAACATTTTGCTTGGATCAGACCAAGTTGTAAACCTGTCAGGTTCTTGACCCTGACAGAGGCAGGCTGTAGGTGGGAGCCTGCACATCTGCAGTCGCTCTGGCATAGCTCAGTTAAGCTGCAGGTCATGCCTCAGGGGTTCCCACTGGCAGGGCAACCTTTTGCAGGACCCACTTTGGAGCCCTCTGTCCCATAGCGCATCCCTGGGGAGGGCTAAGAAACCAGTAGACATTGACTTCTGACCTAGCATGGGCAGAGTGCTGTCAAGTTACACTTTCACCTGGATCTTGCTAAAAGTTAAGCCTAAAGTTAATGAGATTTCAATGTTGGTTTTACTCCTGAGATTCTTCCCTTCATGCAAATCCACAATGTTAACCTTTGCAGTTTACCTCTGTAGTTTTCACAAAAGCTGAAGCGTTGCTGACTATGTTTTGATGAGTGATCATAGCTCCCTTGGGGTTTCCTAAGGAAGAAGCACATCAGGATGCAACAGTGAAATTTTTAAATCCTTTAGGTTACCAAGCAGTGGTAAGACTAATCTAATAGCATTTCAATCAATCAGTCCCTTTGATATTAATACCTTTCTCTGTATATTGATTAAACAAAGGCAGAGAACTTGCTAACACACTTTCAAGAACAGCTGGTAACAGTTAAGTAGTAAGTTTGTGCTTAAGTCCTCAAATTTCATAAGGAGAGCAAATCTTTAAGAAATTGTCATGTTTCTTGGATAAACTTCTCATTCAAAATTCAACACTTCTGTGAAGATGCAGCTATCAAACCCAGACTAATTTCTGTTCTCTCATCTGCTTTTAAAAATGTAGCTTGTTGTTGTACTCTTCCTTTTTGCTCCCTGCCAGTGCTGGCTACTAACTCACAAATGTCAAGTGTGTGACATCTAGACAGTCCTGTTTTGGTCTTACAGCAGGTTTGCTTAGAGCTAAGGAATAAATTTTGCTAATACAGTACAAAAAAAGACTATGGAAGAATTGAAAATCTCAAGTCTGATGCAGAGCCCTTATTATAATGGAAATACCAGTTCAGTACTTATTTCCAAGCCCAAAAGTGTTAACACCTCCACCCCCCAACACTGCAACTCTGTATTGATCAATGGGAAAAATCAAAGGGAGCCTTACCATAAAACTTCCCCAGCTACTACTTGCCAAAAAGATGCAGCAGCAGGGGAGAGTCTTGAAAAAAAACAGTAGGAAGGCTTCTGAATTAATTTTGCACATACAGGATAATAAATTCTGCATAATGTAATGAGGTGTACCTGTCGTTCCACTGGTGAAACAGATGACTGCTAGATCTTCTGGCTTTGGAGGCTATGAAAGTTAAGAAAGTATTAGTATGGTTAAGATAGCAAGGAAAAATATTTTCCTGGACAAAACACTGAAATACTAGTGTTATTTTTGAGCTATGGGAGATAGGGAGATTTGCTAGTTTGATCTACAGAATGCTACCCAGCTTCAGATTGTCACTTGAACTAATTTCATACTTACCATAGGTTTTTGCCTGTGTGCTCTTCCCAGCTCCTACAGAAAGGAGAGAAAAGGGAGAGAGAGTTTAGACATGTGCATGTAACTTTTTTTGCTTTAAATTTACCAAACACGATAATATTCCATTATTTAGACTGCCTGTTAAGGCATTTTAACTTATAAAGAGTAACAAAGGCTTTAAAGGATGTATTGAAGATATATAGTATATATACCATGTTCCACAAATACAAAAGTGATAACTGATCTAGAACTCAGGGGTTTTTTTCCAGCCAGTAAACCAGAAGTCACTCACTAGAGAAGCTTAAGGTTAAGTGGTGTTATGACAAGCCGCAGCAGGCAATCAGTCCTATACCTCACGCAGAAGACATGTGCCACTGACAGCCATTGAACAGATGAAGCAAGATTCATCTCAGTAAGCACCTTGCACCAACATCTCTGTGAGAAGGGTTGTGAGAAGCAAGACTGAGTTTCCCCATGAAGGGTCATTGGTGGTTTGTACTGCTTTTATACTGCAGAGTCAAGAGCACAAGATTCTCTCCTCCAGAACCTCTTCTTCCCTCTCTCTCCTTAGGATTATTCAGGCCTGACCATTAATGATGTCATAGTTCTTTAGGCAGAAGGAAATGGATCCCAAGAAGATCCTTTTATCAGGGATGTAAGCATTAAGAGGAAAGATTTGAAAGCTGGTAGTCAGTATCTACAAGCGTTACAGTTTCAAATCAAAACTTATTACTGTCATGCCTATTTAAGAGTAAAAACAATACTCACTTAAGGACTTACGCAAATTAAAATGGACCTTTTGTTAAGTATAGCTTTGGAAGCACCCTTTGAGGGCAGACACATCAACTTCACCATTGGCTTTACATTCCAAAATGCATTCCTTCACTAGCCCTAGACTTCCTTTAGTATGATGCACCCCTTAGATTACCCAAAGAGGTTTAAGAAAAAAGGAATGTCTGGAAAGAGTTAACATTCCCATACCTGTCAGCTTGCCCTTTTGAAACAGTGCCATTATGCAAAAATTTGCCACTATGACAATGCAACTGTGCTCAAAACAGCATCTGCACTTCAAATACCACCAGAAACTCAATACTTCCCTACAGCCTACTTTGAGTAAGATCTAGTATTTACTGAATATACAGCTAAGATCTCCACACACTTTTGATCTCCTAGAACAGAACTCCAACATCTCTTCCTATTGAAGGGTCGATTATTCGAAGCTACTCAGCTCTAAGTAACCACAGCATACATACAGATATTAGGCATCAGAAACCAAGCTTATGGCATCTGGGAGATACACAGAGGAACTGGTTACATAACCAATAAAGCACAGCTGAGCAATAAACTCAAGCCAGAAATCCAGAAAACAAGTACTTAAAGCTAGAAATAGTCATTCTATTCTAATCTAAGCTCCTAAACAGTTCATAGTTGCCTTTTAGGAGACACTAAAAGCCTCTACCCCTTAAAAAAAAAAAAAAAAAAAAAAGTGACAAAACTTATTCCTGCTCACTGAAACACTATTAGAAATATTTAAGTTTTCCTAACTTCTGAGATTTAGACAAGAGGCTCTTGGAGCACCTATTACTGCATTAATCCAAACATCAAGTGTTATTTTTACCTAAGAGCTACAAAGTACTACTGGAAGTCACTACTTAAGCATCTAAACTTCTAACATAAAGATAACATTCACCCCCTGGTTTTGTTTTTCTGTAGCTAGAAGATCCAGTGGAAAGCATCTTCCTCTGCCAAAAGCTGGAATTCAACTCAGGAAAAGATGCTGATTTTTGTGTACCAACTTGCAGTTGGGCCAATCTTTTTCCAAGTTTAACCCAACCCTTTCGCCAGTAAGCTATACAAGTCACTCTGCATAATGTTTTTAGGCCCATTTCAACCTTGCAGTCTTGCTGAGGCTAGTAAGCTATGATACAGTTAATCGTCTTTTAAAAGACATCCTGGCATTTTTGTATCTTTACCAGAAGGTGGCCCTGTTAACAAGAGTTAAGACTGCTGTGAAAACAAGTTCAGTGAAATGAAGTATTACACACCAGTTACTGACACCTACGCAAGACAAGCATACTTATCTGGAGATACTCATGTCCTAGTGAGCCAAGCTTTCACCAGAACTCCAGCTGGAACCAGGCTAAACCCGGTTTCATAAAGCACAACCAAGACTTGACAATAACATTAGGTGGCTAAGCAAAATGGCTTCTACTTCCAAAATTTGGAAGTCTCATTCCCCTACATTACCATAAGGTTACCCTGGAACAGTTTACTGCCATTTCCCCCTCCCCCAGAAAACATTTTGTAGATCTAGTGTACAGGGGAAGATGCCGTTATTCACAAGACCAAAACCTACACAGGCTCTTTTTGAAATAAGTACTTCTGAAGTATTAGTCACAGAACATAATTACCATGTTACTGCTTCACATGGGCAAGCCTTAACACTCAGATGTGATGTTCAGTCTGGTCTGTTAACAAGCTTTCGTTCTGTCATCTTGGCATATACACTTTCACATTTTGAGCATTGTGAAATAGTATTAGCAAGTTGTTTTCCTTTTTTTTTTTTTTAAATATTTTTTTGTGTAAACTTCAATCCAAGAGATAGTTAACTATTTCGAAACTAATCCACCGCTTTTTGTTCACAGTCCTAAAATCTGTTCAACAGACCCTGTCTTCTTCCTCCACAAGTAAATGGGATGAAAGTAGTAAAGTAGGTTAAGTGTGCTTACCTCTATTTCTCTCATGCTGAAGACTTCCACTCCACACTTTTTGCCACGTTCCACAAGATCCATGCCAAAAGACTCCATGATAACAATGGTGTTGAGTATTGGAGTTTCCCCCTTCTCCACACTGGTTAGCAGAAGTTTGGCCTTGTCAGGTTTGTCACAGAAAACCAATGACAAGTCAGCTGATGAAAGAGAACGACATTAATCAGTATGACAAGTTGAGTTTAGACTAGATCCATACATACTTCAGAATGTGGTAATGCAAGACTCCTCTGAAGGCAGCTACAGTTCTGCCCTCAGTCAGCTCTGCCATCATACAATCAATTCCTTAACTACTGAAAGTGTCCTACCTTTGTTCACAATGTAGGTAATTGCTTCAGTTCCCAGTGTATCATAGAGTGGCACCACCACCATGGAGAATGCATAGCATCCCTGTTCAATGATAACCCACTGCACAAAAAGAAGAGATGCAAGTTGCTATGTGTTTGCTTATCATAACAGACCTCCAAGAATGACTCATATTTGGATTCTAACAAGGAAGCTAATAGGAGAGAGGTCACTTGCACAAGTCTTTCTAAAAAAATAAGTGGCAGTTTGTATCATTTGTTTACTTTGAAGACCTACTAAATTTTTATCTGTGGAAGGAGGAAAGAAAAAACAAACAATAAGAAGCTATGGGAAAGAATCCAATCCAATAAAATTCAACTCTGCCCCCAGGAGTAATTAAGTACTTTTGAAAAACAGTTAACATTAACCATCTCCTTAGTTTACCTATTAACAGAAAGAGACTTTCAGTAAGAGTACAATTTTTTTTCTTGTTTTTAGGTCCTTGAGGTAGCCAAAGCTTTCAATATTCTGTATTACCACATCATATGAATCAGTGAAGGACTTGCTCGTGTCTTAACATACATTAGATTTATATATGCACAGTACTCTTACCTCTACATTATCTGCATCTCATTTGATAGCCAGACATGCAACACATGCAGTTAAATTAGAAGTCCTTTGGAAAGCCAGCCCTAGAAAGTTTCTCAGCATTTCTCAAAACTAACCATTCTTCTTTAAAGGAATCTAATCTGAAGACTTCTATTAAAAAAAATGCAGTTACATCCCTGCAAGCTGCAATTAGAATTTGCCTGCTAACAAGTGCAGTACTCAAACATAATGGATATTGTAGCCTTCTTGTGTGTGATGCAAGCTGACAATGCTTTACAGCAAGCCTGATTTTATCCAAAGTACCATCAAGGCAAGACAGTCATGCAATTCTTTTTCTGGATAGTAGCTACTGGGTACAGCTTGTAAAAAACTAGCTACACCAAAATACAGGGTAGCATGCGACTCCTGAAATGGGAGCCTCCAGACACATGAAGAGGCCAGTAGAACTGGAACATTTCAGTTTTTCCCATCAAAGAGTGACAAAAATTCTCAGGTACAGTACCTTTAGTCAGTTGCAGTTACAGGAACAAAACAACATGCATCTTTAAAAGTGATCAGAACTTAGAATTCAACAAGATTGCATTAACAGGGATGCTTGTTTCCCTTCCCCACCTCCAAACTGTCACACTTCCCAGTGTTTTTGCAGGACACTAGCCAGTTACCTCACCCCCATATGATGACAAGTTTAATCATCATTCAGCTGGTTATTCCATATAATATCTAATATAGAGGCTATGTTAACAAAGTTGCTAAATCTCAGTTTTATGAACTGTTTATTAGGGGCAAGTTTCTTAAAGTTCTCTCCTGATTGAGACAGCCCTAAACACAGGGAATTTTTCTGAAAGCATTTAAGCAATAGGTAAGTTGTACACCTCTTAGTCCAAAAAGACTTCTTATAAAACTAGTACAAGGCCAGCTAACAGCTAGCTAGACTTTCATACAGACATTAGACATACTGGTAAGTCTAAGCAGGCACACCTATACCAGCCATGAAAGGGTCCACTGAATAATTCTTCCTAGATAGCATCCACCTGTACATGTAAAAGGGGGCAGCTGTATTGCTGTCAGCAGCCTGAAGTTTAGTAGTTATTTTAATAGGGTGGGGGTCTACTACAATAGTCTTCAGAAGCTGCATACAGTGATAGAAGCTTCCTGTTGCAGCCTCCAACAACTCTTGCACACCATCATTCTCAATACAACAACCAGCATCTGTATTTTCTGGACTACCGAGCCATTTTAGCTTCTAAAGTTAAGAGTATTTAAATACAAATATCAAAACTCGACACTTGAGTTCTCTCTCAAAGCCCAAGCAAGCAACTAGTACTCAATACAGACAACAGTCTACAAGTTTCAATTTGTTTTCTGACATGGCTCTGAACTTCTATTAAGGGACACTATATTTCACAATCCAAAACACAACTTCCTTGCTTGCAGAAGAGATCATCTGTTTTCCAGTTATTCAAAGAGAAAGTAATATTTTTATTCATAAATCCAAGTTTGTTTTCTTAGTGAATATTTAAGCATATAACATGCTAGGATTTTCCCCATTAGGGGATTTCCCCAGCAGTTGTTCCCTGAACTGAGAAATGTGAATCATTTCACACAAAAAAATTCACATAGTCTCCTGTCTGGATTAGTGATTATGTTGGGGATGTCACAACACCCCTCCAGTAGTTTTCAGCAGGGAAAATCCCAGATTTAAAATTGCTGGTTTAAACAAGACTTGACAGCTCATTCCTGACCCAACTCAAAGCCTACTGGAGCAATGCACTCAAGCACATTTTGTCTCTGTGATCCAAGAGTAGACCACACTACTGTGCTCTCCCTCAGAAAACCCACTGACCCAGCAGTCAAAGACTTTGCACCCAAAGGTCTATAGAGAAACAACTGGCACAACACTAACATCTGGCTCCCTTTTCTACTTCCAGTTCACAGTGTTACAAGCACAGGAGACTGAACTGAAGAGTCTGTAATACCATGTCATTTAACAGCTTCCTAGTTGGTGATATCCCAGCCTTTTTTAATATGGAAATAAAACTGCAGCTGTTAGAACCAGAATTCCAGCAGGAAAATCCAAGCAGCAAACTACTCCAAATTTAAGAGTCTGGAAAAAAATGTTTTTCTTCATCTGTACAAGGCTAGAGTTAGGGGGTTTTTGTGGTGTAGGTTGGGAGAGGAGGAAGGGGGTGAAGGTCACTTATCACACAGCTTGCATTTTAATGACAGCAGGGAAGGCTCAGTGACAAACTGAAATCAGAAGAGATCCAACAGCAAGCTGTTGTCCAGCACAACTGAGGCACTGATACAGCTTCTAACCCTGTCAACACTGTAGAAGGCTCTAGATAATGGCATCCAGCCGGGAGTGTTTAATCAAGATGGACAGCAAATTTTTGACAAAACTCAAGAACCAGCCTCCTGTCTTAATACAGATTTGGATTAAACTAGCTTAATGCAGCAAGTACCAGCTCAAGCTACTAAGCACAAACATAGGTTAGGGAAGTTCAGTCCTATTAAATAGATTTAATAAACAAGTCTAGAGAATAAATGTTTACTGAATATTTCATAATATCTTTAGAAACAGCAATCTAGAATCATTTCTGGATTAAAATGAATAGACATTAGCTGATCAATCTATATATCCCCATAGTTGTCTCGGGTTCATAACATCACTTTGCTTTGTCAGGTGATCTTTAATTATGTTGCTTTCTTTAGGCTTTCTGCCCCTTTACTGAACTGCAATTAATTTTCAATTTTTCCCTTCATCAGTAGTTCTCCCTCCCAGAATCTTTGTGCCCAAGACCTCTGGCAGAGATAGAACTATCACCTTTAGCCATATTCTATTTGTCCAGATATTTAATCACTAAGTGTTTCTTTGTGTTCTGAAGGGTTTAAACACCTCCTTGTGGCTTCCAACCACTTTCAATTACCTTATACTCCAGTGTCACTTTTCAAGAGAAAGTGAATGTAATCACCATTTGCTAAGTACCACATTAGCTTCTCATTAAACAGGCCTCCTCTATAAACTGGAAAGAGGAGAAGAGAATGAGTTAAGTTCTTGATTCCCTAATTCTCTTCCTGCTCTCCAGCCTTCTACGTTGAGCTCTGGGAGCAAAAAACACAATATAAGACATTAACAATTATGTCAGTTATCAGTTTTGGTTCTTAAAGATGCCATGTCTATGGCCTGTCAGCCTTTAGCCTTGTCCCAACACCAACTGGACTCTTAGTAGGGAAGCTCAGTACACTGCCAAAACCCAACAGATATAAGAGCATACCACTTCAGTAACAGCTAGACCACCAATACACACGCCGCCAATTAAAATACCTCAGGTCTGTTTTGTGAAAAGATTCCTATATACTGAACATGAGATGGTTTGAAGCCTCGGTGGAGTAACGCAGAGCCCACACACTCAGCTCTGTCTGAAACCTGGAGGGGCAAAAAAGAGAGATAAGACAAAAAAAAATTGAGAGCAAGCTCATCAAGGTAAAACAGCATTGAGGGGTGTATATTAAGTCTTACAAAAAGAAGGCCAATAACTGGTATGAGATAGACAGAAGTTTTCTAGGCTATTTTGGATGTCCTCTGTGACTTTGACAACCTAAACATTGCAGTGCCATTACACTGCACTGACTGTAGATTAACTACGCTTGCACTCAATATGCAGAAGAGACAATACAGTTGGACTTGAAAGTGTTAAGTGTAAGTTTAAATGTTAAGCTCTCATACATACACACAAAGGCTGTTTTGTTGTATCTGTATTAAACCCCAGAAGTGACCCTGGAATGATTCAGCATTATATTTCTGCTCAGTCACAAGCACTACATACGCCATCCTTCTGCTTCATTCAGTGCCTATGGGAATTGCATTTCTCCCTTCAAAAAGGGGGAGAATAAGGAGGCAAAACCCAGCTAGTTCTATAAAGTTTGGGAAGGCAATTTTCTAAATTCTTTCCATATAGCATATGACCTGAATCCATGTTAGTCACATGACTCAAACAGCAAAGCTTTATTAAAGAGAGGTTACACTTAACAAGTGCCCAGCAAAATCACCTTGGAAAAAGCAAGGTCTGCTCCATACAAAAGGTGTTTAGTGACCTTAACAGTATGCAATAGGCAAGGTTTATGCAAATTTGAGGACAATAACTGATTAAATCAGGAATGACCTAAAAGTGCACAGCTGTTAAAGATTTGCATAAAGAGATTTTTGGTGATCATGAAGGAACATGCTACTAGTTAGAAGCATACCTGTTAACACCCTATACAACTATCATTCAGCACTATGGAGACAAGTTGTCAAGAGGCACAAGTAACATCTGTAGATAGGACTTTTCCTAGTGTAAAATGAGCCTCTCGGAAGCAAGTGCCTAAAGTTGTAGCAGTCTGAGTCCCTGAATAATACTTCAAAGCTGCAGTTCTTCAGAGGCAGTGTCTAAGTTCTAAACAATTCAGCAATGAGATGCTAAAAGCTGCCAAGATAACCCCCCAAAAATCTGAAGTAAAACTGTTAATAAACCAAGCAAGTGCAGAAGATGCTCTTCTCCCCCTTGCACATATTTGAGGCTGTTCCTTTAAGATACTCTAACAGGTACTAGAACCTTTCTGCAATATTCTGCTACTACTTAAAACATCTATAAATAATTAAGATTTGTTATATCACATTACTGGATGTTGTGTCAATGGTCTCAGCAAGCAAAAGCAGGTCTAGCACTAAGTTAGAGAGAATACTTACCTCTTTATAGGAGATCCACTCATACGGCTGGTTTGGTTTTCTAACACCTAGACATGGACCATTATCTAAAAAAAGATAAAAGTTACTCAAAATTTAACCCCCGACTCCTCTGTCCTGACATCACACTAACTGCACTCGCAGCGTTGAGCCTCTAGATTCTTTGCGGACACCTTCAGAAGGCAACCTTTTTTTTTTTCCTAGAGGGGAGGGAGGGAAGCTGAGGAAGGACACAGAGGCAAAGTTGTTTTAGGCTAAGGAACACAGCACTGACTTTATTCACACAACTCTGCTTCACAAGAGGTCACAGTTAAATTTGCCCTCAAGAAAGCTCATATCCAATACACTTACATAGCGAGGCAGACATCCCCTAGCCCAAACTGCATTGCAAAAAAGCCCAGACCTTTAGTTCTTCACATTGTACAAAAAATTATCTTTCGTTTTAGACTTACTTGATACTTGTACACCCCTTTGGAAGATATCATAAACTGTTCTCACATCATCATAGTAGTAAATCAACGGTTCATCACTGTTAAGAAGAGACGACCTTCGAGCATGCTCACCACCCTAAGAAAACCAATTAGAAGGGTCAGACACACTTGTTGGTCCTAAATGAACAGGAGTTTCCCGGAATAATCAAAACACCTCATCCATTAAGTTTTGTTACAAGCCTTGGCAAATTCTGCTTGAGAACTTCAGTTCTTTTCACTACCAGGTGAGAGATCTGCAAGGTTTCCCAGGACATTGTTTAAAGACTGCTCCCTGCATTACTAAAAACCTGTCAGGCACAATCTTACTCTCAGCTACCTAAAATAGCACAGAACAAATGAGAATGACAAAACGCCCTTTGACACTCCTTACTTGACACAGGGTTTTTCTAAGAAATGTCTCACTCTATTATTGCAGTGTACAGTATAATTAATTCCATCAAGCTTTCTAAAATCACTCCAGCCTCAGAACTCTCTCTATATACAATATTAATGTCGAGATCCTAATCTACTTTTCTAATGAAGATTACAAAACACAATCACACTTCAAATTGTGGTTTCAAAACCAAAATGATTTTAAGGGTAGTCAACAACATCTTAAACAAGTGTTCTCATAAGTAAAATACCCTGTACCAGATTTAAATCGAGTCCTTTAATCCAATTTAAAGTTCCATCTTACAAAAAAGGTTTCCTCCTGATCTAGTTAGAGGCAGTCAAGACAATACTACCTTGAGGATTAAAATCATTGTTTTTCAGCTGGTGAGCATTTACATAGGCTACAACTGGAAGTCAATAAAAGAATTTAATAGTTCATAGTTTTAACATAGCCTTTTTTAGAGTGACTGATTAAATAATCTCATTTTATATCAATCAAGTTTCATAATTTACAGTTATCCAAGTACTATTGGGCCACATTTATTAGTCCTGCTATGATGACAGACACCTACAAGCAAGTTCTTAGCAGGAAAAGCCTAGCTGGTTAAACAGAGTGTCTTGGGTAAACATTGCATAAGGTTCTCTATCAGTGGTTGTAGTCAACTCCTGGCTCTTTCACAAAGTCAAATCCTGGACTAACTAAATCTGTGCCTGAATTGTGCCATCATCCACAACATCAAAAACCTATTCATATGCAATCATAGGCTCTTCCCAGCCATTGTTTTATTTTTCTGTTTTCAAAGTACCCTGGAAGACCAGAGAGCATCTGTTCATGTATAAGCTAGACAAACACAGGTTTATCTGCAGAGGATGCCATATTGCCCATGTCCACAGAAAGCAGCTAGCACATTAAAGGCATATCAGAGAGGAAAAAAATATTTTAACACTGAAACAAGTCTAACTTGTTTTAGCAAAATGCTATGCGTAATGCAGTTCTTGCCACTCCTTTGACAGTAAGCAGAAACATACACTGTGAACATGACCCAGAACAAGTTAATGACGGCCTTACCTCTAAAAATTTGTAACATTAGAAATTCAAGAGCATACTTGCACTCCAACCAACATCTACTCTATAGAAAATAAACAAATCACTAGGACATGTCTCTGCCTGGAAAGAAAAGCAAGACTGCTTGCTTTATTGCACTGGTTTCACAGATCTACGATAACCAAGGTCAGCTTCTTGATTTTCCCAGTTTTACCATCTCTGGAGCTAACCTGAGGAAGACCACACAGTGTATGTAGTTTGTAACCACAGTCATAGGTAATATCAACAAGTGCAATGTATCAGTACTGTGTTTGATGTGCTACAATTCCTGTGTCGGGTGAAATATAATATCCTAAGCTGTCCTTTGGCAACAGTCAAGAAATATTTGTTTTCTCCTTATCTGAGCTACTACTGTCTTATTTACATACCCTATTACTCAGCACCACAAAAGCAGTTTTTGCAGGGCCTGAGGCACTAAACAAATTTGAGGATGAGACTCGGACAGAGAGCACATTGCTCAGATACAAGACTGATTGCACTGTCCTTCTGAAAAAACAGAAACTGTATTACAGACTACTATTAAAAAGACCCCATCAGTTCTCATGAGTTTTCAGTAAAAGATAACATAACCAACTTATGGTTCTGCTTACTTTATTCTTCTTCCCAAAGTAAAGTGACATTAACTGAATTTTCAATAGCCTTAGAGTAAGAGTTTTGCTGAAAAACACCCAGCTCCTTGTGTGAAGACCATCAGGAGTTCAATGTTATTCTTCAGAAATGCAGTGAAATACACCTGGATATACTGAAGATCATCTAGACCTTACCTATGCTCCCAGTTTGAACTCATCTACTAGGCAGTATTATGGTATTGGTCTACATTTTGCTTGAGAGTAGAAAGAACTACTATTTTAAGGGCCTGTCCAAAGGGTTCTTATCCAGAATATTTGTGCAATATCAGGGAAAGTTCTGTTTGCAGCACACTCTTCTAAAAATTACAGGTCGTTACAACCACCAAACACCTGAATCTCAGGACTGGAATGTTTGGCTGATTTCACACAAGTTATTTGGATGGGATCTAACAGATCTGTCCAGTACAAAGGTAAGCACTCAAAAGGGTTGTCAGTGTTACCAAAGTGTTCTTAAGGAGCCAGACAATAAAATCTTATTAATGTGAGAACAGCCTCTGGTTACTCATGTAAGGCAGCCCTTGCAGCAGCTCAGGGAGTTGCAGGAAACTGACCCATTACACAGCCAAGTGCTGGACATCAAGTAAAACCTTGGCATTGGTTCAGAATAGCAGCAGCTGAAAAAAAACAGATTTAGTCTACAACAGAGGCATATATTACTCTATCAATGCCTATTTGGGTCACATAAAATAGCTGCTTTTGTTCAAGGCATGGGTTTGCTTCTTGTTGACACAGGCTGCTTAGGATTAGCAGTAATGTCAAAACACACTGTTGTCTCCACCATGCCTCAGAGGCAAGAGGCCCAACTTCCATTTTCCTGAGAGGGAAAGTATACTAGCAAGTGGTGCTTAGGTCACCCCAACGTGGATATTCTGAGCAGCAGGAAGTATAAACTAGAGTTTTCAAACCAGCCATGTAATTTTAAGCATGCTAATCCCTAGGTAAGCACAGAACAGCTAAAATTGATTGTTTAATAGGGACATGAGCACATGTCTTTCAAGAATCACTTGATTAGACAAGGCAAGCTAGAGTTCTAGTAATGTATCAGGAGAATGTAAGTAGGTTTAAAAGTTTTCATGAGTTGAATACCTGTCTCCATATTTGAATGTCTTTTCTTAAGGGAAAAAAAAGCCAGAGTCACAAATCCAAACTCTTATTACTAGAAAATACTGACATCCTAGTGTTTGTTTATATCCTATCCTTCTACATGCTTTAGTAGAACTTGAGCCAAATAGAAATATTTGGGTTTTTAAAGCAAGACTTAATATATTTGACAGCCATACACCTGCACTCAAATCAATAGTCAGAGTTGTTCAGCTACCAGTCACCAATGGAAACAGCAATCTACAAGCAGACAGATTCACATGTGCCTACAACCACAGACCTTAAGAGTGCACAAGCTTTGCAAAACACAGGACTAATGCCCTATTTCTACCATTACTATAGCACTGAAATTCTTAGTGTAGTGCATGATCAAGTATAGCATGAGTCTCAGCAATGCAGTCTCACACTAGTCAGACTTTATTTAGAATTATTCTTCATTAATCTTGTCTCCCCTCCTACAGACAAGGGATTCAAGTGGATCCTGAAAGATTGTCACCTATACCTCTGAGAAGTTCCCCTGAAGAGAGATCAGGTTGGGAGCTTTGAAGACAAGAGGGTTTCTTTCAGTGAAATGTAACTGTAGTATGCATACTTTCAAGATTGTACTCCACGTCTTTTAATTGTGGCATCTACTCTAGAAGAGCTGATACTTTCAGTAACTCTTTGTACTGATATTCAACTAAGCATGCAATCTTTATGCTCACTCAGTGATGGTTAAAATAGGTCACTGGGTGCTGGCCTATCAAATCAAGGCTTTCCAGAGATGGGAAGTGACCTGAACAGCAGTAAATAGGATCTTTTTCCTCCCATATAAAGTTATCAAGATTTATTATCAGAACATGTAGAAACCCTACTCCAGTCAGTGACTTCATGTAACTTTTTTAGAGGCCAAGGAAATAAGTCACAACTAAGAATTAAGCAGCTTATTTATAGTTAAAAATTGTTATCATTAATGAACAGGTAGATTAGATATTAAAACAGTAGAGAAAAGGAATTGCCTTCTGCCATGTCTTTTTTGGAGCACAGTGCTTATTCCTTTTAATATTGTATTGTTTAGCCAGAAAAAAATATGTTAAGACATAATTTCAGAGCAGTATTTGACATTTTTATTCTGTGAAAGTGACAATCCATCTTAACACATGTATAAGAGAATGGAGTAGGTGAAATGAAATTCTAAGCAAAATGTAGTGAAAAACTGAATCCCAAGCACTGTATTATACTCTTGTTACTGTTATAAAAGTACCAGTTCTAACAGACACTTGAAACTTCCTTCAAAACATACATTCTCATTTGATTACAGTTTGATACAGTTTACAACATTACATTAAGAGTTGTATCTGAACTGTCAATAAACAAAACTGGACAGATCTTGCTTATTTCAACATGTTCTCAAAGTTTGAGCTCTTATGACCAAGACATGCTAACGCACTCAGCTGTTTTTCATTTAAGTTTTACTACTGTTCAGTCTTCCTATTAAAATTTATTTCCAGAAGAGGCCATGAAAAATAATGCTGTTATGCCTATCTTGCCCTCATCAGAGAGCTGATGTTAATTAGTACAATAGGGATGAATGATGCATTAAGTAGTTTAGTGAAGTCTCATACTACCAAAGAATGATTTCAATCACAGAATCCAGCAGTGACAAGGAATTTAGCTTGAAGAAGTAAAGGCAGGGAACTGAGACCACTGTCAAGAGTCTCAAGCAAATAAGCATTTGTCACTGGTTTTATAGCCAGCTAAGAGCCACTGTTTTACCATCTTCCAGTGCAAAGCCCCTGATCTGCTGAAGTCTGTACTGACTAGTGAGGCCCTCCACAGCTGGAAAGCTTTCACTGCTAGTTTATTCCAGCCACCAAAATGTGCTGCTCTACAAGACAACTCCACTCACTAAGTGGCTGCTGTCAGGATTGGGAAAGCTCACCAAGAGAAGATCTAACCTCTGGGTCCTCACTCTACACGTGTTCCTTGAAAAGAGGTATTTTTGGCAATTATCACATTGCCAGGGCATATTTTTGTTTCCTCTTTGTGTACTTCTAATAGCAGACCATTACTTGCTATAGTAACATGATGTGTCAGTAAGCTTACTGTATACCATACTGGGAAGAAGATTAGGAAATAAACGGTACCAGCTAAACTTTTGAATGGAAGGGTCAACTAACACTTCATTCCTCAATATCAGGAAACATTGCAAAGAAAGCGCCTGATTTGAGGCTATGACAGGAGTTTGTTTTGCTAAAGTTCATGAAAGTTTGCCTACTATAAATTTCAAACTGCTCTGCTACATTTGCTTACATCAGTTTGTAGTCACATTTACTCCTAAGCACAAGAAGTCATGTTAATTGTTATTTGATACAGGACAACTAGATGCAGTCTATCCACACAGAACAATGTGCTGTAAAGGGAGACTTCAGTTGCAAGTATATATAACAAAAAAAAAATCTGTAGTGGTAGTTTCTGACTATCAAGACTAATGCAAGAAACTATCAGCTTTACAATCCTATGTTTTTTAAGTATCTCCCTTGAAGACCACAACCTTTCAAAGCTCTCTCCTTCCTTCAAAAGGAAGGAACACCTTGTCTACCCTGAAGAAATACAGAGGCACTCTTGAAAGAATGAAATAAGTGGTAAAATCTTGACTCTGTAGTGAACAGGGGAATTGATAACTGCTGTTCAGGAAAGCCCAGCCATGTAATCAGTTGTCTATATTTGCTTCTAAGCAACAGTTCCTCCCAGTCAGACTGTTTCTGTATTTGACTTCACTATCAAAAAGCACCACCTAACAGCAACTCTGTCTGCCTCTACAAAGCATAAGACAAAAGCTAAGCTAGTATATCCAGAGTATAGCAGGTGGTTTCTTTAATTTCAACTTACCCTATGGCTGGGGTCTCTTGGCAGGACTAACATATCTTTCCACAGATCATTTGAGGACAATTAGTACCCTCTTCATGCTTGTAACCCAATATAAAGTCTCATCTGTCAGCTATTATAAACTAAATATTGTAACAGAAAAGTATTAGCCTCATCAGTATACATCAGCGTACATACTCTGACCCCAAGACCTAATTTAATAGGTCACCACCTAAACATGTGGCCAGGAATTGAAAACTACACTGTGCCAATTCTAACATGCACAAGTTTCCTGCCATTAGTCAGATCACAAGCTCAGTTTTCTCAGCACAAAGTCTTTTTCTCCCATGCTAGTTACTACCACTATGATCTCAACCCTCAAACGAGTTTTCAAATTCAGAAAGTCAAAAAACTGAATTCAAGCCATGTTTCAGAGAAAAAAAAAAAAAAACAACCATGCCCTGAAACGTATTCCCCACACCCTTCAAGTTTAGAAAAACTCTTGCATAAATCACTGTTTGGTCTCTTTCAATGCCACCTTTAGGCTTCAAAACTCAGCGAGCAACAGCATCCATAAAGTGCCACTTACCTCTACTTCCACAGACTGCATTGCTAAATCACATGGTGGTTTTAGTGCTTTTGGTCTCGTCGCATACCAGTAGGTTGTGAGAGCTGCGAAAGCACCAAAGCCCATCAGCGTGTTTGTCGGAAGGGTGCGCACATACTGTCTGACATCCCCAAGTTCTGGCATTCGTAGGTGTCTAAACAACTCATGTGCTTGCATTGCAGTTCAATGCGGTTGTCCTGATGCAGGAATCTGTTGATATGAAAGAAAAAAAAAAAAGAAAAAAAAAAATCACACACAAAGTTTTGAAATGCCCTTTTGATTCACTGTTGTTGTGGGAGAGTCATGTATGCTTTGTCCTACTGGCTTACCACTATCAAAATAATTTGATCTGCAACTAGGCCAGGCAATACCTTTAGACTTCTGTGCTGCAATTAAGTAAGCAAGCAATTACTGGTTCACACTCTAGACAGACAGGTGAGGCTGACAAGAGGCAATTTCTTCAGGGTTTTAATATTGCTTTTAACAGACACTGCATTTTAACAAAACTTTTGCTTTTTTTTTTTTTTTTAAGGACAGCATTTCACAAATGCAAAATAGTTATTTGTAGAGTAGCTGTCCTGTAAGACTGTTTAAACAGTAAGTGACAAACAGGAAAGAGGGTGGGCAGGGCTATAAGATGTTAACTTGCCTGCATTAACGTAACAGAGAGCATCCTAATCCTACAGTAGCATGGCAAGAGCAGGATGTTTCATCTCTTAAATTCAGTAAAATAAACTTTCTCTTTTCTACTCTCCCTTCAGTCATGCACAGAAAGCTCACTACAGCACGCTGCCTTCAAAGCCAATGTCGTCCCGTAGCTCCTCTATGCTAGCAAGCTTCCTATTTCTCCCAGCAGCACGCCAGCAATTTATCTCTGGTCATGAGGCAGACTAAAGCTGCATCTAAGGCGGCCCAAGGCAGCGGCACACAGCAATATAATCAAGCACAGGAAGCACATTTGATTTGTCACGTTCACACAGAAGGAAGAGCTGAAAGAGGCTGCTCCCCGCCAGCGCTCCCTGACATGGATCTTCCACAGCAAGACCTAGCCGCAGGCGGGGAGCAGGGAGGGGGGGAGCGTTGCAGTCAGCTCAGCTGGTGCTCTCCTCTACAGCCAAGGTCTCCCGGGACATTTGTCACATGCCAAACCCACCAGCTCCTGCCCACTAGGTGAGAGGTAAGCAGCAGGCAGCCGGCCTGCCCAGGGCCAATGGCAGCTCGCACCCAGTCACCCCACCGCCCGCTGAAGGGTGCCTGCCTGCCCTGCA